TTTTTATTAATTAGTATACATAATTTATGGATTTGAACTTAGCAAAACTAAAGCAAATAAGTGTCTTGCATATCCTAGAAGCATGCAATTTTAGCATTATCTCATTGTACCCAACATTTTACTTTATATTTGCAGATTGTTGAGATCTTGGAAGGATTGGTCGTGGAAGGTTCTGACACCATGAATGCTTGTACCTTACCTTCAATGCTTTTAATTGAATATTGTTTGTGTATTTGTTGTGTGGTACATTAAATTGTTTATGTTTTGTAACAATTGTTTACTTTAATCAATGTATGATATTTGGTTGCATTTTAATTTTTTAGTTTTATCCATATTTTTACAGATTTACAGGTTTTAAATATTTATTGAAAAAATAAACAAAAAAAAATTATAATAAATTTTTTTTCCGGCGGATTTCCGGCGGAAACATCCGCCGGAAATATTAAAATTGTTTAATAAATTCTAAAATATATGAATATTTAATTAAATATTTAAAAAACAAAAATAAAAAAATACCGGCGGATTTCCGGCGGATCCGGCCGCCGGTTTTATTTTTTATTTTTTATTTTTTTTTTCTTTGAAAATTTTATTTATTTAAGTTTTTCCGGCGAGAAAAGATTCCGGCGGATATATCCGCCGGAAATTTTTAAAAAAAATTTATTAAGTAAAACCAAAATTTTTAATTAAGCCGGCGAAAGATTTCCGGCGGCTGAAATCCGCCGGAAAAGTGAAGAATCCGCCGGAAAACTCGACGGAAAATAAATCACCGGCGCCCTATTTTCCGGCGGACATATCCGCCGGAAAATCCGCCGGAAAACCCAAATCCGCCGGAATAGAGGGTAATTTTGGTAGTGTATTACGTATAATCATATATGATCTTGAAACTTCTCTCATCACTCCAAATTGGTAGCATCCTCATTTGAACCTGACCTTATATATATATATGTGAATTATATAATGGGCAAATTGCATGAAAAAATAACGTACTTTAACTTGATTCCTATTTTGGGTAACGTACTTTCAAAACTTCCACTTTGGTACCTAAGATGTAAAGTTTTAAACATTTAAGTACCCGGGTAACACAGTGAAGACTAATTTTAGACTAAAAAAAAGACTAATTTTAGATTAAAAAAAAATCCACGTCACTGACTAGGTCAACAAATAATACCGAGTTGGATACCACATCACTCGTCACATCAGTATGATAACCGGTTAATACTTCAACCAGTTACCCTGGGTACTTAAATGTTTAAAACTTTACATCTTAGGTACCAAAACGGAAGTTTTGAAAGTACGTTACCCAAAATAGAAATCAAGTTTAAAGTACGTTACTTTTTCATACAATTTGTCCTTATATAATCAAGTAAAGAGTCGTGTATAGTCAAATAATCCATAATAGACATTGTCTCGGGAAAGGTGAGGGACATTGCCTCAAAATCCATGTCAAAAGACGAAAGTCGAAGATTGCATTGGACATTGCCTCTTCATCGATGGCTTCTGTCAACATCTGAAGTCATTCCCGTCGCTGAACCAACGATATCACTCGCATATATCTTGTTCGTCGAATACGAATCACCGATTATTGTACTGGTACGATGAATCCATGTATTATCATCGAAAGCGTATGGCAAAAACTAGAAGGCAGTTCCCATCTTCATCGTAAAAGCCTGAACATCCATCTCCAATATCTTTTTCACGACTACTTTCATCGATGGCGTCTGTCAACATATCTGAAGTCATTCCGACCGATGAACTAACGATATCACTAGCACATATCTCGTTCATCGGATACGAATCATCTATTATTGTAATGTTATTTTAACAACGATATTCAAAACTTCAAAATCGGATATTTTAAATAGGAGTCGATGGAGATGATGATAACATAACTGAAATTTCAAAATCGCATCCTAATAGAATCCCTGTTAAAATGGGTAAATACTAAAATTAAGGAAATAATGAAATTAAATATAAGAAGGATTAATTAAGCAAATGTAATTTCTCTAATTCGGAAGTTATCCTCACGTGCCCATCCAAATTAACAAATTGAAACATAAAGTCATTTTATTTACATTCCAGCCACCGTATAATTCTTGACCCTAGATGAAAACAATTTGTGATTTTAGATTGAGTTTGTATAGTTTGTTAGAATTGTAATTGAAATCTATTATATATATATATATATATATATATATATATATATAGGATTGGGTTCACGTGAAACCCAAGGTTTTTCGTGAGACATGTAAGACCAATTTATATTCGTTGATCAACTTTATAAGTTAATGATCTAATGGTCTAAAGTTGCACGGTGACAATTTTGTAATTATTGAAAAGTCTCGTGGCGTTTATGAATGTTCAGATCTAACGATTGTATATCTAATCCAAGGGTTGAGAATTGGTGTTACGAGTCTCACGAAAAATCGTTGGTCTCACATGATCTCAAATCTCTCTCTCTCTCTCTCTCTCTCTCTCTATATATATATATATATATATTATTGATGAATATATTCACTTGTATTTAGGGATGGTGAAAACCGAAAACCGAAACTTTTGGGTCGGGTTCGGGGACACCTTATCGGGACGGGGCAGGGATCGGGGACGAATTCGGGGATTTTAACGGGGACGGGGGCGTCCCGGCCCGATATATATATATATATATATATATATTAATTTTAATTTATATACATACATATATACACACACACACACACACACATATATATATATATATATATAATATCCTTAAAAGAAAGTAGTAACACTAAAATTTAAAAGACTTTTATCCATTTTACCTCAACAACCCAAATAAAGCTCACGAAAAAATCTAGTTTATTTGTCGAAAATCGTGATTTTAATTGTATGATGTTTGAATTTCTGTTTAGTTTTATATTGTAATCTAATACATTATTTGTAATTGATTCGATTATGTTTGAGGCATTTAAACTTACATCTTTAAAAAAATTGTAATTTACTTTTAATTGTGAAAATTAGATATTGTAATTTTTTTCAGATCGGGTTCGGTTATAACCAACGGTGAAAAAGAAGATTTTTACCCTTAACGGGTTCCCCAACGAGGATCGGGGGAAACCGCGGGGGCCCGATGTGGATCCCCAATAAGATCCTCGACGGGGACCGGGGACGGTTTTAGCTATTGGTTTTGGGGAAGGAGATACCAATACCCGGCTCATTGCCATTCCTACTCGTATTTGTATTATGTCAATAAATATGTGTGTGTATACATATACATATACATATATATATATAGAGGAGCGATCAAATGAAAACCACTCCAATTTGTAAAAACCGTAMAAACTACTCTMATTCGTCGATTTCATTGTTTAATCTTATGAATTTTTTTCATGAAATTGTTTAATCTTGTGAAATTGTTTCATATAATACTTTTTTTTTAAGAAGTTGTTTCANTTATGAAATTGTTTCATATACTACTTAATGAAACTGTTTCATGTATTTCTCTAAAATTAATGAAACTGTTTCATGTATTTCTCTAAAATTAATGAAACTGTTTCATGTATTTCTCTAAAATTAAAATAATGAAGAAGATAATATCCATGATTAACATCATCCACAATAAAAATGATTAATCAATCTCTCATAATTACAAAAAAATGAACAAAATGAAAAATTATGATTAGTTGAATGAAGTTTGTACGGTTTGTACAAATTAGGTGATTTTTATTTGAACGTTCCCCTATATATATATATATATATATATATATATATATTATATAGCCAAATGTTATTTTGAGAAGTAAAAAAGTGATCATAGCCCTTCATACGGTCAAGATCGGATTTGAATAGTAAATAATTATGGTTTTGACTGGTCAATAATTAAGGCTTTGAATGGTCAAAAATTATCAGCTACACGAAAAATAGAGATGACAGTTTCGTAACATTTACAAACATGCGGCAAATGGATTCATGTAGGAACTTATGTGATTCACATATGTTCATATATGAACTCATGTAATTAACATATGAACTATTTTAATTGATTCACATATGAACCTTTGTGATACACATATAAACAAATTAACTGATTCACATATGAATCAGTTAAATAGTTCACATGTGAACAAATTAACGGGTTCACATATGAATCCATTATGTATCACATGGATTCACATATGAACTTATTTACTTCATGTTTGTACAAATTATAAAACAATGATGAATGGCTAGTATCACTTTTTCACTTCTCAAATATTTATCACTTTTCTGATGAACCTCCCCCCTCTCTCTCTCTCTCTCTATATATATATATATATATATATATGTATGTATGTACACACACATATATGTGTGTGAGAAGGAGAGTTAAATTGAGAAGCGAAAGAAGAGATCTGGACTTTTGATCACTTTTAATCTCAAACCCACCCATGAATCGAGTTTGATACGGAGATTGATCCGGTGTATTTCGGTGCATCTCATCCTAATGCACAATCCTATACACACACACACACACACATATTTGGGTTCAAACGAGAATATGGTCAAAGTAAAAAAAAAACACGTGAATACACCTGTATTACATGTGATTTTATATGAAATCACATATGATTAGGGAACACAGTTGACACCAGGATGTGCACGCACTACTAGAAAACAGAGTATCAACAAAGGTATTTAGCGACCGAAAAAATCCGTCGCAAATTAGCGACGGATAGGCCAAAAACAATTTCTCTCGCAGACCCCTCACTAATCAGTGACGGATTAGTTTGTCGCTGACGCGTTTCTGATCAGCGAGGGATATGCGAGGGATGGGCCAAAACCAGTTCCCTTGCAAATCCTCCGAAAATCACTTTTTCTTTGGTGTGGATAATATTAGTATTTCCTCCTAAACCAATCACGACATTCTCGGCAACCTTCTCATGCCTCCAGTTACTCGCATCTCGATCCTCAAGTAGCTTCATAAACGCTTCATGTTGATTTTCCATGGCCGAGTTCGTCATCTGCATGACACTTTCCATCGTCAGAGACTAATGATCTACCTCCTGAATGACTGGAGTATTAGTGGCCAAATTCACTCTTGGCACAACGTCAACTCTGCCTTGAAGCATAGGCGGAATCAAAGGGAGTTGCGTGTTACAGGCCTCTCTAGGTTGCCTCAATGTCATAACAAAGGCCTCTTTATCACCAACATCGCTTGACAGTCTACTCAGTGTGTTAACCATCTTAGACTGTCGAACAAGAGAATGAAAGTATAAGATTAACTCAAAACGAGACTAACATTTAAAACATACACTCATCGTAATAACAATAAAGTCAAGTACGCTTACGTAACAACATACTCAATATAACATTAGCTAAATGAAATTTTGAATATATTGTACATAAAAATTCTCGTGACCATCATCACAAATCATAATTTAAATGGGTATTTTTAGTGATTCGTATATGAACCTTTACTTAAACGTCATTTCATACAATCTCACAATATTTAACCTTCTTGTTTGAATCGTCCTTTATATAGGAGACATTCTTTTATGAACTCATAAAATTGTGATAAATTTAAGAACTAATACATCATATGTTATTTTATATGATTTTATTTAAAATCTCAACTAATATATATTTGTTTCACACTATATTTATCTCATATATATATATATATATATATAGACTTGGGATCATGTGAGACCAAGTCTTTTTCGTGAGACACGTAAAACCAATTCTCAACCCATGGATTAGATCTACGATCGTCAGATCTGAATATTCATAAATGCCACAAGACTTCTAAATAATTACAAAATTGCCACCGTGCAATTTAGACCATTAGATCTTTAACTTATAAAGTTGATCAATGAACATAAATTGGTCTTACGGGTCTCACGAAAAACTTTTGGTCTCACGTGAACCCAACCCTATATATATATATATATGTATATATATATATATATATATATATACATATACATATATGTATATATACATACTTGGTTCAAAGCTTTTCATGTATATATAATGGTATAAACCTAACCAACCGCAAGGAATGACATTATTGGAAACGGCGTTGACCATGTTGCCATATAGTACTATATATACCCATATTATTGGGGCGCGCATACACACACATATATATATATATATATATATACATGGTTCAGGGAGTGTTCAAATAAAAACCTCTCAATTTGTATAAATCGTAAAAATCTCATTCAACCAATCATAATTTTTCATTTTGTTCATTTTTTTGTAATTATGAGAGCTTGATTAACCATTTTTATTATGGAGGGTGTTAATCATGGATATTATCATCTTCATTATTTTAATTTTAGAGAAATACATGAAACAGTTTCATTAAATATTATATGACACAATTTCATAACCATATATGAAACAAATTCGTCAAAAAAGATATTATATGAAACAATTTCATAAGAATAAACAATTTCATGAAAAAGAATTCATAAGATTAAACAATGAAATCAACGTATGAGAGTGGTTTGTACAGTTTATACAAATAAGAGTGGTTTTCATTTGATCACTCATCTACATGGTTCAAAGCTTTTCATGTATATATAATGGTATAAACCTAACCAACCGTAAGGAATGACACTATTGAAAACCGGCGTTGACCATTTCTCCATATAGTATTATATAATATATATATATATATATATACCCATATTATTGGCACATGTACTTCTTGGCTTTCACTGAAGAAAAAGCCGATTATTAAGCTCAAAAAGGAAGTGCTTTATTTCCTCCATGGGTTACGCAAACAGCAGGAAAAAAAAAATTGAAAACGACTCAAGTGCTAGTTGCTTGTGGGGATCTACCTTATCTTACCAAAGGGCTTTAAGTCACTTCTTTCAACTTTGCACCGACTTCCGCTTAACAAAAACGAATACATCGACTTACCCAACACATTAATTTGAGTGGGGGATCAAGAACAGGAGTCAAGATTTGATGCCCTACATGGGATTTATATATATGGCATAGGTCAAATATTATTGCTCACTTTATATGAATTTAATGATCAATTGTTAGGCATATATATATATATATATATATATATATATATATATATAGGGTTGGGTTCACGTGAGACCAAAGGTTTTTCGTGAGACCCGTAAGACCAATTTATGGTCATTGATCAACTTTATAAGTTAATGATCTAACGGTCTAAATTGCACGGTGACAATTTTGTGATTATTGAGAAATCTCGTGGCGTTTATGAATGTTTAGATTGTCAGATTATAGATCTAATCCAAGGATTGAGAATTGGTCTTACGGGTCTCACGAAAAACCATTGGTCTCACATGATCCCAAGTATATATATATATATATATATATATATAGGGTTGGGTTCACGTGAGACCATGGGTTTT